CCACTGGGGAGCAATTACTCTATGAATGTTTAAAAAAATTTAATATTACATGTATATAATATAGGGATTGGCTCCCTAAAGACACCAACTGTATAGTGTACTAAGCACTGAGTATCTACATGTTACAGTCATCTTAGGTTCATCTGGCTGATAATTGCTGTTTCACCCTGTACTTAAGCTTTTAAAAAGAATACCAGATATTTGTAAGAAAGAATAATGATAACACTGTTTCACTAAAATTATGATATTTTTTAGTGTAAGATATAGAAAAAACAGTTTGACTTTTCAATACCCCTACGACCTTTGCAGTACCTTATTTAGTAATGTACAAAAAGGTTTGGGTGCAATATTCCAAGCCGTTTTTGTTGTAGACTGTCAAAAAAATAATAATTACAAATGGGCCATTTTGAATGGATTTTCTTTTCCATGCAAGTTTAATATGAATGCTTTTTTTTGTGCATTTTTATATGTGTACAGCTACAGCAGTCAATAGTAGAGGTTTTAAAGTGTTGTTTGAAATGAATATTTACAATTTAAGGTGCTCTTTGCCTGAATGTTCTATTAGGGTTTTGTGCAATTCCTTGCAATCCCTATTATGAACCCTTATCGTGGTTCACGATATATTTTATAAGCAAATATTCAGAAGTGCTTAAATTCACCGACTGAGGAATATTAATTAAATAACTGCTTTTTTGCCATAAATGATATTCAACACGTGAATTTTACTTTTAACTTAATCTAACATTCAGCATTGTTGTAAGTTATTCTTGGTGTAATATTTGGGTGAGAAATGTTGCATGTGATTTACTGAACCCATCAATGGTATTGCTCTTGGTTCAAAACTGGAGTAAGAATTATTATAAGTAATTTAATGAACTAATAAGGTACATTACTTTTGGTCAGTGATGAAGATAAGTCAGTGCAATCCTGGGCGGTGCACACGCACCTTTTTTGAATGAGGATTGGCATGCCCCACACTTACTTTGTGATTTCCATTATTAATTACTGAACAGATAACATATTTCCATACATTTCATGTAAAAACTGTATAATAAATATTTAGCTTGTTGAGAAGTCACTTTATATCTTCACTTTTGTAAAAAATCATACAGCACAGGCCTCTTCTCTTCCTTAGACGTACACCACTGCTCTTTTATATCTGGGTGAGAATTCTTGCAAACTACTTGCCATTCATTTATATTACTATAGGTATCACTTGCGAGTAAGCAATGTTGCAAGTGGCTTACCAAACTCACCAATCATACTACTTTTGGTCTGAAACTTACCCCAAGCATTCTTGCAAGTGATTTATCAAATTCAACACATATTGCTGTAAGTCAAATACCAAGTTAATCAATGATACTATTATTGTTCTGATATCTAGAAGAGTGTTTGTTTGTAATTAAGCAAAAAGCTACACAATGGCTATCTGAGCTCTCCCACTACGAGTATCGAAACTTGAATTCTAGCATTGTAAGTCTGCAGACATACCGCTGTGCCACTGGGGGGCGTAGAAGAGTGAGTACATTTATAAATGGTAAGCCAAACATACAAGCTTTTGGTTTTAAATTCATGTAAGCAGTGTTGTATGTGGCATACTAAGCATATTAATAATAGTTTTATTTTACTTGGGTGAGTATTTTTACAAGAAATTATACCAAAGACATCAATCCCATTTCATCAACATACTATCTTTTTGTAATATCCCTAGCTTAAAACAAGTGCTGAACATAACAATTTGACATTTTCTTTCCAATATTAATGTTTTAATTTGTATCAAAATGCAAGATAATGTATCAGTAAAAATTACCCCTAAGAACTTCAACAGCAACACTAGCTGTTAGATTAAAAATTCTCCAAACAATATTTTTGGTCAAATCAACATTGAAATTATTGTCAAAAATTTTCATACTGCTTAATTTTTACATATTTGCAGACCTTATCTTCATCTTTCACGCTGTCAAGTATGTCAGCATGAAAGAAATCTGTTTAGGAAAAAACTATTTCAATGCAAGAAGAAGTAAATGATTTATTTTCTTATGTACAGGAATTCCATATTAACAGTCTTATTTCTTAATAAGTGAGTTGTTAATGCATAAATGAGTTTTTAATTATATTCAGTAGACCATCACTCAAACGAAGACAAGCACAAACCACAAGCAAAAGTCATCATCACAAGTAGAACACGAGAGAGAGAGAGAGAGTGCATGGTTAGAAGAGTGCAATGGTGCAGCAGAAGTGTGCCCAAGAAACATGACAAAACAAACAAACCACAGTAGTAAACAGTCTCCAAGGAAGCATGCTACCATACAGACCAATAAAGCACCTCTGTCAAAGTCTACAACCATGCTCCAAGTGATTTCCCAAAACACAACATTTGAACATGCAGAGATGTTGTCTCTTATTATGAGCTACAACTTCAACTCAACACAGAGGTGCCTTTAACTGCTTAACAAGCTGACAATGTCTGACACTACCTGTCCTGTGGTTAACAGGTCCTTGTTCCCAGAAGCAGTAAGTAACAAAATAAAGCAACCAGTCACTAAAAATCTATTGTAAATATGGCCATGTTCAAAGCTTTTAAGAATTTCTTAAAAACTGTTTAAATTTAAAACAAATAGCATGGTAGAAATTAGATAAATTATACAAAAAACAATATAATTAATACAAATACAACAATAAAAAATTACATACATACATATATATATATACTGAATATCATAGTTAGAAAATATATAACATTTACAATTAAACAATGTTATTATATGTTAATAAATTTTCACTCAATAAAGAAGAAAATTATTGACACACAAAAACAGTATGTTCTGTTTTACCTCAAAGAAATAATTTGATACAAAATATTATTTATGATATGTATACCGCACAGAAGCATGATCTCTAAAAATTTATTTAAAAAAATATTCATACTCTTTTGCATTTAAAAAAAAAAAGATGGATTAACAAATAAAAACTTTTTGCACTGTGTTATCACACAACTATTCTAGATGTTTACTGCTGAAAATGTATCCAGTGATCTAATTCTAACTATCACTTTCATTGTATATAGTCTAACAAAAGATATGCATATAACTTGTGGGTTTCGTTTTGTATTCCTCAGATATTTTCACAAACATGATTGTTCATATCACTTACCAAATAATTTCATTTTCCTTTTTCAAAATTTATGTCTGTTCAAACGTCTGTAACTTGCTAATAATAATAATACAGTTCCACAAATATAATTCATATTTAACCTTACAACCAGGCATAGTAAATATCTGTAAAAATTTATAACACCAAGAATTGTTTGAATAGAAAGAAAATTGAAAACGATGCCGCATTCAATTCCCTATACTAGTTCGGGATACAAAAGCATGGTTGGTAAATTACAGGTTTTCTCAAAATATTTTGCTAATTTAAATAATTTTTTGATTTGTATTCAATTCTGACATAAAAATAAATTACATGTCTGAATTTTACAAGCTAGAAAGAAGAATGAACTTGTAATTTTTGGTGTTACATCAATAAATGCTTGTAAAAAAAGTAAATGTATTTAACAAAAAAATGAAAATATTTATTATTTCCATGACATACAGAATTTTATGACACATCAAGAAACATTTTTGTGATAAATAAAATAAGCCACACACCTATATGCTTTGTCAAACCATTTTACTCTGAACAAATACAAAACTTTGAACATGGCCGTTGAGAAAAGTTATAGCAAACAAATCTAAATATGAAGATATAAACATGTAAAAGAAATTTTTACCTATAATGTAAAAGACTATTAAGCTATGTAAACATACTACAGGTAACTGAGGGGCTTTGAATTGTTTTATTACAAAGCAAGTTATTATTTTACTTCCAAATTCTAACACATAACTGAGAACTTGTTCGTCACATGATTCTCTTACTTTTATTCTTATGTTTTCATATATCAAAGAAAACAAAAGACTGGCAAAAACTTGTCATTTTCCCAAATGTTTTCTAGCAAATATTCTCAAAGTAATAATGTATAATTCACAATGCTAGTCTTACTAGCATTTCTAAAACTGTAAGTATATAAAATAACCTTTCATCACAAATTCTAAAACATTCTTTACAATAACTATTCATCTCAATAACACACATATACGTCATCACAATTTTCTTCTACTCAAGTAAGGCTATTGGCTTCCGTTAAAACTATACAACTCACTCCATAAAAATACAACGAAATCTCTAATAGAGCTGGGAGCTTAACTTAATTAATGAAGGTAATCAATTACCCATGATCATTGATTACATCAATTAATGTCACACACAATAATCAATTTATTGAAATTACAATTAAGTAGATTAATGTCATAAGAATAATCAACTAATTTAAATCAATGTTTTCAATTATTATTATTACTTTCAACTGTTCCAACTATCCAAGTCTCATATAAAAACTAGAGGGGCACTCAGTAGAGCATATACCTCTGGCATGCAACATTAATCATATTCAGCTCTCAAAAAATATGAAAATGTATCTGTATGTTCTTCGTTATCCGGACATAAATCATTTTTGGCAGGACAACGAGGAATAATATTCTACATATGTCCAATTTTATCATAATCCAATCATTTTTGACTGAGTTATAGAGCAAAAATAGTGTGAAAATTGGTCCCCCTGTTAACATATAGTTTTTGGGGTTTTTTTTCGTGACTTTGACCATGAATCTCCAAAAACTAATCACTTCTAAGTTTGGTCATAGTCCAAATGTATACCAACTTTTGTCCAAATCCATTCAGGTGTTTAAGCAATCCTGCTGACAAACACATACATGGGAGTGAAAACATAACCTCCATCACCTTCAAAGGCAGAGGTAATAACTGATTAGTTTAACATAATCAATTAATGAGCCTGATTATTCCACCAATTACCCAGCTCTAATCTCTAAAATTAATAATTTGACTGTAACATTTAATAGTAATTTTTTACTTTTTCATCAAAATGAAATGCTGAAAAAGACACAACTTCAATCCTTTTTTTATATGTCCCCAATGGATACTTCAAAAACTATTTTAGTTAAGTTTTTTCACATCATCTTCAGATAATACTTCTATATTATCCACAAATTTTAGAAAACACTTAAATAAGTATGTTGTTGTTGTTGTTGTTGTTGTTTTTTTTTTTATGAGGCTTTGATTAACTTTTTCAATCAATCTAATTTTGAGTTCTTTCTACAATAAAGGTTCACAACAATATTTTCTTGTGCTCCAATAAATAAAATTATTGCTTTATTATTGTTGGTTTAGCATAAATAATACCAAAAATCACCACACAAATAACTTAACAGACTAAATATGCAACGTTTCATTTAGCCATCCAGTCATGCATATTGACAGTAGGTTCTTATGCTTAGCTGATTATGCTATCAACTTCTAAAACTGATAAAATGATAAATATATTTTGAAAACAGCAAAAATTTCAATAATGCCTAGTTACACATTTGTAAAAAATACTTTGAAAAACCTATATTAAGTCTTTTCGGGTCTGAACATAAACACCTACTTCTTCCACAATGGTAATTTCCACCTATTTTCTTCATTATCAAGGGTGTAATGACAAAACTGAAACCCACAAATTAAATATGTAGAAAAAACCTGAAACAAAGGAAACCTCTTCTTTGTTCAATTACCTTCTCAGTTACCAATGATACTGAATACAATTAAAACAAAATTTGAAAAAATATGTTATTATACCTGCAAAAACTGCTGTACTGTTGTGATTTGGATCATATGGGCATAATCCCTCTCCAGTCTGCTCCTCTCCATATTTGTACTCATTCTCCTTAAGAATATTTTAAAAACTATTTTAACATTCTATAGTCATAAACTTTAATATATATAAGTACTATTAGATTTGAAAACAAAATCTGGGCCTGTTCTCAAAGTAATTTAAGAAATGATTAGAGGTTTAACAACATGTTAATGAAATTTAGCTTCAATCCATCTAATGGTTAACAAGAACCAGCAGTTATCTTATGTTTAGCATACACTATCTGTTACCTGGATCTAGCATGACAGGTAAGCCCACATGAGATTCAAATAAAGACTTCAATCCATCTAATGGTTAACAAGAACCAGCAGTTATCTTATGTATCTGTTACCTGGATCTAGCATGACAGCTAAGCCCACATGAGATTCAAATAAAGGCAAATGAAAATGTTTAATTTTGTTTAACATAAGAACAAGAATTATACGTTCAAGAAAGAAATACTTAATTGAAAAATACTTTTTAAACTTTTTCTTAAACAAAATTTCTTTAATATGTTTTTTTTTCCTGTACACCATGGAAACCACTATTTCTATTCTCTTCATCTTCCCAAACTTGATGCTAAATTCATGAAATGATCCAATGGGAAAAGCAATTATCAATATATTTCTGGTAAGGTTCTGGTGGTTGAATACCACTCAATGTCATGGTAAGTATACAAACACTAGTATCAATTATGGTCATGTTTTAAGACTATGTAATCTTCTAAATCTAACTACTAACTATAGACTATTAGTTTTGTTACTAATTTATAATTGGGTTCTTTTTGCCCCTACATGAGTTGATAGTACATTTGCATTTCCATAATAATAATATCACATAATAATATTAATAATAATAATAATATCACATAATAATATAATATAATAATAATAATAATAATATCACATAATAATAATATCACATAATAATATAATATAATAATAATATCACATAATAATATAATATAATAATAATATCACATAATAATATAATATAATAATAATATCACAAATTAGTAATTAATTAGACTTGCATGGTTATACAGGTTACAAAACATGATAATAATTAGTACTAGTTTTCTTGTTCCAAAACTTGTTTTGGTCACCACTGAACATTTTTGTTGAACCATTTAAAAGTTGAACTTCTCATTTGAGAACTTGCAACTTTTTCATTTTAATAATTATTTGCTTCAAGTTAAAAGAAGGTTCCTTACAAATCTAAGTAGTGAAACTTTCATTGTATACATTCAAATACTTGTATGTTTTCAAAGAATTATAGACAAAAAATATATATTAACAATTGGTCACCTATTAAATAATGTAGAATAAGACAACAAGCATCTTGATCTTAATATGATTTAACAGTTAGTGGGAATTATAATACTAGACAGGAAAGGAGCAAGTACACATCTGATTTCAAAAAAATGTTTCTTTAAAACAAAATCAGTATTAAAAAACAACATTCTACAGTTTACTTGACACTTCTTCTGCTAACAAAAGACTTTATACCTACTACATTATCAGACTACTCCTAACAATATCATGAAAAACATCATCAGTGCATGCATTCCTCAGCAATTTGCCAAGGCATAATATAAAAAACAAAACAAATACTTTTATAAAACAAAAATGTAAAATTTTGGTGAGACAGTGGTTTCACATAATACCTCTAGTGTCTTGAAAACTTAACAAATGAAATAAATTTTACTTTTTCCTTATGAGGTACAAATCAATAATTGCAAAAATAAACATAAGTATACCATTTTTGTTTGATGACAGAAATTATTAGTTAGCCTGGACACGACAGAGATAATAGTGTACTCTATTATTACAAGGCTTGGCTCACACATAAAAGTTATTTTTAAATATCCATCCAGAAAAATCACTATCATAATTTTTTTTTTTTTGATGAGCTACTAATGTTTTTCTTTTTTTTCACTGTTACTAATTTCTTAAGCATTGAATTTTTTAAACTCAAATTACAAAATCATTTTACATTGCTTTTGGAAAAGTATTGTTATCTTGCTATTAAAAAAATCCATAAAAAAATGCTAGAAAACACTTACTGTTTGATTGTAATCTCGACAAACTGGTTTGTACGCATTTGTCCCACACACAAAAAGCACATTATTGGACTTCAAGGCAAGAACTCTAATGTAATTTTGACATTCCTCCTGCAATTGCATAAATGAGATTTACTTCATAACATAGCCACAACCCTATATTGAATGCAGTAAAGAAAAATGTAGACGAAACATAAACCAAAAATTTGCTTTAGTAAGTGCTAAACCACACTTCCTAAAGTACGAGTAATATATTAAAGGTTAAAGAAGACATGGGGTTAAAATCAAAATTGAAAATTCCTAATGTTAAAACTAGCCAACGAATTGTATCCATTATATATCTCAGGAGGTTCTTATTTTACTTTTATGTAAAAACAAGTGCTCCATTTGTATGGCTATTACCTCCAATTTCCTCCCCGGTTATGTTAAAATAATCTTTCAACTTGTTTCCTATCACAGGCTTCTTCTTCGTTACTTTACTAAGATCAAAATATTACTTCTTTCCTACGTTCTAGCTTTCTTTAAAATTGACATTAAAACTTGTTTCATACCTCTGACTTTCCTTTCACTCTGCACACATGGATATCATCATCAGATGAGTACCACTCAAGCCGCTAAAACACAGAAAGAACAAAAATGAACACATTTCACGAAGTGCTACCACACTGCATTCAAGCTAGGAAGCATGAAGTGCCTTGTAAGAAATATACACCCTTTGTATGGAACAGTTTATTTGCCTAATTTCAACCTCAAAATACTGACATAGCATTTCAGAATTACTGAGGGAACAAACAACAATAGTTTAGAAGAAACAAGTTGTGGCTAAAAAAAAAAAGGGTGTGTGTGTGTGTGTGTAGTAAATAATTCTAACAACCAAGCTTACATCATAAGAGAAAAAAAAATTAAAATCACTAAGTGAGTAATACTCCATTCTATCTTAAATGTTCAATTTCATTAAATGTATTGTTTAGAATGTTTAATATGTCTATTTTGTATTATTTTGATTTTGTTTATTATAAAGATTAATTTGCAATTATTAAACTGAATCTTCTAAGTTAGCCAAACTTCATGAGATATTTTAGGAAATATGGCCAATAATTCCGCTAACAGTGAGGGAACTCAAATGATGAAACAATGCATTCTTATCAAATTATAAAAGCAAGAAGAGTACATTTACTTATATATTTTCATTATTAGGTTAATTTTAGTTCTCACCTACTTAGATAGCTTGCTTTTATCAGAAATTAATTTATTTTGATTTTTCCAAAACTTTGTGTATTTCAGTTAATATAAACTTGCTTTATTTAAAAACATACCACTTCAATATATGAATACAAATCATCCTTAGTTTTGATTTCTATCATGTATGTACTAAGGTACAAGTGAGGCAACAATTCTTGGCTAATGTTCATTAACAAATTAAAATGTCTTTAGTAAACTTTTCTTTAAAAATTAGATTTAATTGGAAAAATCAATTAGTTAGATTTTATTTGAATAAACAGGATGGAAGGTCAGTAAAATTCTTTATGTTAAAAATCAATTTTTGCAGTGCTGATATTTATATGTTTTGGCCAAAGACTATTTAAAAAGGAAATTCTTTTCTATTTCTATATTGGCCATTACTTTCAAATCATAATGATGGATTTCAGGAACATATGTATAAAACATGGGATATAAATACATTTGATAATATTAGATAATGCATCTATTAACTCCCCATCATTTAAAATTTAACTTAAATGTCCAAGATTTACACTTATAACCAAAAACTTTAAAAATCCATAATTAGCATTCAAATTCCTTAAATTCAAGTGAACACAAGTGTTTGCTTCTGTTCCATTTCATGGCATTATTTGAGATATCTATCACTATTCTGAATATACAATAAGTAATTTTCACTCCACACCTACTTTTAATATTTTTTTCCTATCCATTAAGTTACTTGTAGGAATTGATAAAAGAAAGAAAACTGCTTAATAATGTTTTCACAAATTATTGCAACTGAACACAGTCTGACAGAATAAAATTAATAGAATCAAAAGTTTATTTTGGTATTAAAGTTTATTGTGGTGTCTGCTTTTTCAATATAAAAACTACATGGAGGCAACACTATCAATTAATATCATTTTTTCAATAACTTAAAATATTCAAACAAGGAGGAAGATGCCATGTGAATAACACAAAATTTTATTTATGTGCAAGTAAAATTGTATCCGAAAAGGAATGTTTCTTAACACACACAAGTATCAAGAAACAGCTGTAGCATAAATTTGGTTTTTATGTAAATTGTAGTGCTCCAACTGTGATATATAATTCAAAGGTTTCAATACTAATGATCTTTATTTTTCTTTCAGACACAAATGCCAAATGTGAGTGAGAACTGACAAGAATTATTCATTGAATGACCAATTCTTTGCAAGTAACATCGCTATACATAGTGCCACAAATGCATCAGTTGCACTAAATTAAATATACTATGTAAAATATTAACTCATGCTAACCAAAGACAGCATGACTTTTCCAGCGTAAGTCAATACACTACCTTTCTTATTAGTTTGTCCCATAGTTCCTTAGTGAATAAAGTACTGCTCTCTCAACTAAGCATAATATATGAACATATACAGAATTGCAATCCATTGTACACAGCATGAACTTGGAATTGAGAATCAGAACAAATTGCACACAAAAAAAATTTGAGTAATTTTGACAAGCCCATATTAACCACAATACTTTTTGTAAGTAAAATGAGTGCAAAAGACCTTCAAAGATGATATTTAATTGCCAGAAAAATAGTTAGTTATGACCACCAGACCCCATATGTACTTCAACCTGAAAGTTTATATATGTATGCTGGATTTCAACATAAGCTCATCTGAGATATATTACTATGGAGAAACAGGTCTCATCTGTGCTCTGGTCATTCCATTAAAAGATACCAAATAAAACAAAAAGTGGTATTTGACTTTTGTTTAATAAGATCAATATATATATTAATGTGATGCTAGTTAATCATGTAAGCAGAAACGTAGATCACAAATTTAACATTTCACAAAATCCATCCATTTCAAACTTTTAAATTGTTTTAAGGCTAGCCCCAACAGATGCAGTAACCATTCTATGAATAAAATTAGTGGTTCAATGCACATGTATACCTATATTCCACTTGATTTGTTTAAAGTTCTTTCAAGATGATGTGGCCTAGAAAAGGTGACGGCAATTGAAATAATTTCACAAGCATTCATGATTCATGAATTCCCAACAAGAAGCCCACTAAATAATCATAAACCTTTTGGCCAATAAACATGAGAATTAAACTCTCTTTCACCAATATTTTCCTCAGGTGCTTTACAAATCAAACAACATTACTGTAACTGAAACCTCTTAGTTATTCCCGAAAGGTTTATATAATGCTGTAAGCATAAAAATACTAAAACTCACTCTAATTCTTTTTATGAGGAAAGCCATTATCTACTGTAAGATTTGAATGCTTTGGGCCATTCTATAAAATACTCTAATTGATTTTTACTGCTGTTAAAGCATGCCGTTTAATTCAATTATAATAAGTATATTCTTATTATTAGACAACATTTGGTGATATTTAACACAGTTGCTACCCTATTTAAACTATTTATAAATATGTAGTTCCTGGAAAATTTCACCAAACAGGATATGTAACTAAGAACAGTCTTTTAAACAAAAGTCACAAAGTATTTACAGCCCAGTTTCAGAACTTTGTTTTCTTGGAAACATGTTATAGAAAGTTGGTGTGATAATTACACCATGTTAAAGGAAGTATGCAGTTGCTTTCATTAATATTTTTAGGAACTTCCTAAAAAAAATAAACCATGTCTATGTTTTACTAACTTTATTGTGATTACTAAAGACTAATACTAACAAAGATTTTTAACTTTCCACATTTTCTCATCTGCTTAGCATAACTACCAAAATGCAGAACTAATTTCTATATAAACTTATTAGTTAAGGTTATCTGCAATCCTATTTTTAAACTTTTTTTTGCATAAGGAAGTTTAAAATAAGTCTTACCTTCTTTTCTTGTAAAGTTGCTAAGCTGATGTTATATACGATGTTTCTAAAGACAGAGACAAACATTTATCACACAAATAATCTATTATACTAAATTTGATTTTAACTTCAAATTCTAGTAGATAATTAAACAAACTTCGTAGTATTGAGTTATTTATGCCTAAATGTCCTCTTTATTGTAAAGGTCAAATAATAATATAGGAAATTGACATTAATCAGTAAATGGAGTTATGGTTATGTTACTTATCTGAGAACAAAGACAAGAGTTTTTGATTGATGAATGTAATTAAATGTATAATATGAATACAAGATAACAATCCAATTGTTTTAAATGCATACTGTAAACAGGCCTAATTAGATGACTAACAAATACTCAAGAGGAAAAACAAGGAAGTTAAAAACAACTAAAAATACAGATCAACAACGTACAGCAAAAATTATCGGGTATACGTATTACAATTGATATAAAATTACAGCTATATATAATTAAAATCTTAAAAAAAGGGGGTGAGGTTTGATAAAAAGTTGTGTCACATATGAACCCCATGAAAAATGTTTGCCCCCTAATACAAACTATATTTTCTGTACTTCACAAAATTTTAAACAAAGTTGTTGTTTTTTTATCAATAATGATTAAAGTACAGACCATGTACAGTAAATTTATTTCTTTAGATCAACAGCAATACTTGAGATAGAACCGTAGACCTACAAAACTTGAAGAAACAACAACAAAAACTAATGGCAATCTTACATATGTAAAATGCATTTGAATCCCTTGTTGATATAGATACTTTGACATGATCATTTTAGACGTAAAAAGAAAGTTCTTGGAACAGTATAAAAGGGTTATTCTTTATACTTCCTTTTCCCAGAAAACTGTAGCTTATACATTCATATCAACTTACTCAAGGGTTTTAGAAAGTTTGTCTGGCACCATGTCTAAGCAGAGATAGCTTATTATAACGACTTTGGACATCCATTTTTAATGGAATAGTATTATAGTCTTTGAGAATTTTCTTTCATTTGTAAATTTCACACAATAATAAATTCATGAATTGTTCAATCAGTCTTAACTACTTTTACTTCTTAACACTCCGACACTGGTTTTTTTGCAAGCAATAACTTAAATTTCTCATTTTTCAACAAATACTGTTTGATGTCATAAAATGCTACATTGGACTTACTTTGCTCCCACCAGAAGATAATTGCCATCCCTCTCCAACAACTTGAAATGGTCACTGTGTGTTTGGTTCCCTGGAAATCTGTCCACTTTATGCTCCTCTGAAATAAATAAAAGTAAATTTTGATTTTTTTCTCTAGACAGGAAGATTTCACATGGCGACATAAATATATTTCTAATCTCAAAATACACTATTTAACTCTTTAAAAAAATTAATCCGTTGTAATGATTTCTGTTTCTAATTACTAAGATCTTAAAGTTTAGACGTTACTTAGTTACTGCCAAATGGTTTGATTTTTAATATGTTAATTTTATACAGTTAGTTCACCACACTAATAAAACTAAAGCAAAGCAGACACATATATATATGGATGTACTGGTACTACAACATAGCTAAGAACAACTTATTGTGTTTTACAAACAATGCACGCATAAGAATGCCTGGCCTCAACAATACTGGTATACAAATGTGTTTTTTTTTCTTTTTCTTGAAAGACCTAAACTTTTCAAACGTTACTGTTATTACCATTGAACTGAAAGAACACATTCAAGTATAATACTATAGTATGTAGCTGTACTAGCAGTAATAGTGAATAGTCTAGTTACTAATTGAGAGCTGTTTGAGTTAGTGTTAGACACTGTTTATAAAAATGATTAACATGTAGATTCTACTGTTCAATCTGTTTTTTTATAGGGCATCAAATGTATCATCTCAGAACAAAAAAGAAAACTGGGAATTAGAAACTGGTAGCTTTTCATTTACATAAATTTTGCATGCATTGCCATATTAACCTTGGCATTTTGAATTTCAAATATACTTAAACATATATATATATTCTTATGTAGACTGTACTCTTTCTACTGAGTTTAGATACTTAACTGGAATATATTTCTAGTAAATTAGATTTTTATTACACTGTTAAAAATACGCCAATAGAAATAACAAATCTGACTTGTGCATGTGTTATTTCACTTAGAAGTAAAGAACACTGGCATATGACATTCTAGGTGCTACTCTATGTCTAGTTAATTTTCAACTGTACCATCAGATCTGGTTTAAATTGTGGTAATAATATTTTCTGACATTAAAAAAATGAAACTTCAGAATCACTCTGACAACTATGTTACAGAATTAGAGAGGGTATATTTTCAGTTATCACTTTAAGTACCCAGATTCGGATGTTATTGTTTTTTCAGTAACACTTTCAAGCTAAAAAAATACCTGTTTCCCAGGCATTTTACCTGTATACTTAATAACACAGCCACATATATACATACATTGTAATACAGCTAGATAAAAAAAAAATGACAATTTCATTCCATTTGTACCCATAAATCAATACTTCTGGAAAAACAATCTTAAAAACAAAAAGGTGGTAAGTTACACGCCTGGAGAAAGTCTGCAAGATTAACGAGTTGAGGTTCGTCACCGCGATGCCGAGAAATCAAGGGACTTGTATTACTAAAAGTACGGGAGCACGTGATGCAGCCTTAGGCGATTACACAGCTTTCAATACTTATGCAAATCTATCACAGCCTAGTTTCAATGTATCATCCTTTTTCTCTTTCACTTCACGAGAGTTCATACTAGTATAATTCCAGCATGAAGAAGGCTAATAACAAGGATCTATTAGCTTTTCAGTTTTTATACATTATAAATAACAATACATTTTTAATAAAAATAATTAGTCACGTAGTCAAACAAATATTGTAGGAAATGAAACCACTAAAAATTACGTGTTCTTAAAAACAATTCGGTGCGTTTTAAAAAAGGTAACTTTCAGTATATAATTTAATCTTTCTTCAATAAATTAAACTGATTTTGACTTAGTCGTTTTTGATAAAAAAAAACAAGAACTAAAAACATTTGAAGCATGCAGTTACTACAATCTTAGAATTAATGTTCGCCACGCAGAAGTTATGAGGTTAAGAGCCTGATGAATATTTTCTATAAACAATTCCACGTGATCTCACTGTAATTAGCAAGCTTATAATTGTAGAACATACACAGCAATCATAAAAACCTCAACCCTATAATCTAACGCGCAAATTGGCATGAAAAAAAAAGTTCCAAAACGCCTCTGAAAATTTCCGTAGTTCACGGCAGAAGCATACAAATATATTGTCTTTGTAAACACGCATCTGTATAAAACGTCCTCAAAATGTATGAAATAAAAAACAAGATTTTACTTTTGCTTTTCTAACATCAACGCGTAAATAAACCTTCCGACGCCATTTTGTTTTCACCATAGAGCTATATCCGCATCCCACATAATACTTTTGACAAAATTCGTCGTAAGACATTATGAAGAGCTTAACATTTTGATGTAAGGTGACGCAAGAATGTTTTACCATGAATATAACTTTGGAGTAAACTATATTGAAAAATACGTCACTTCATATTTGAGATCTGTTAATTATTTCACTACCCCATTGACAGATACAGTTTTCACAGTGCCAAATTATTTCTAGATACTCAATATAAAACAAAAGACGTATATTTTAATATTACTTTACTTATCCGGCATTTGAATGTGGAAAATTTTAGGAAGTTCTCGTGGTGGTACAAAAATTCCAAGTTCATGTGGCAGTGCCCATGCAATGGGAGAGTTTAATAGGGCTCTATGGAAGTGAAGGCTTGCTAAATAACACGAACAACACCCGAATTGAGGAAATTAATGTAATACACAAGCAAATGCCCGTACCGAGTTTTATTAAAGGCACAATCAAATGACCATATAAAAGCCGTATTATCAACTGAAAAAATGACATACCTAGAAAGTAAAATGTGAACATATCATGACGAGCATATAGCCATCAATTGGCTGAACGTAACATGAAATTAAAGTATCAAGTAAAAATGTATAAAAACTCAACAAACCTTCAAACTTTTTTTACTTCTTAGTAAGAATTTCACAATTAAGTAACAGTGGAAGGTATTTGAGACTTAAGCTGCCAATTTGCATGTCTTCGTTGATTAAAACATCAGACACTAATACTTGTTTCCTATTTATATGCAAACTAGAATATACTTAAAAGCTCATAAGGAACCAAAGACAAACACACACACCAGTGAACTACACTTAATCAAGCAAGTTATACAGCATACAAATCGCTTTCGCAATTTCCTTAATTACAAAACAATATTTTCTGGTATACCTTTGACCTTATTGGGAAGAAACACTAAGATAAGCTTCTGAATATAAATTGAAATATTTAATGAAACAGGCCGATCTTACGTGTTTCTAATAATTGCACATAAAATCCTTATTTTCCTTCTTTGTGTAACAAATTACTGCTAGAAAAAATCAAATGTATTTTTTTTTCAATCACTCAGAGAAGAAAATATTGAAAATCGTTGATAAAATTATTACTTCAGGGGTGAAAATATATTTGTTTGTATTCCACGTCTAATGAAAATTAAATTATCAATTTGGTAAACGTTCAGTCTAGATAGATGGGCTAAAACACGTCGAACTGGTTCACCATATTATTTCCAGAAACTGTTTACAACGTGTGTGATCTGAGAAAATACACGTTGTTCACAGTGTTAATTGAAGAATGAACGTTGAAATATTCACGTGGACTCGCAAAGAATATCAGATATAATTGAGAATGCAATTAATACAGCCTGTAGATTCAAAGCGATTTGAATTTAATCAATACTATCATATTTATAACATACTGAAATTGTAAGAACATTTTGAAACAAGTAAATCTAACTGAATTCCAGAGATATTAACCATAAACCACAAGTACGGCTACACACACACACATATATGTATGTATGTATGTATGTATATATATACACATACACACACACACAACCTTTTCATTATAATTTTGCATTTAATAATCCAAACATTGTAATATTATATCCACTGCTGTTTTTGTGGGTGCACGACTTTTACTTCATTATTATTTGTGTATGTGTGATCAAAAATCAATATACTGTAAGTATTGTAATTACATTATTCCGTAGGAAAATCCTTACTGTTTTGACATTCAAGTAGCCTTACATGTGTGTTGATTATTAAAGCCACATCCGTTTTCTGAGAAAACATCTACAAACTGGCCAATCACAAAACACTACAGTTAAAAAAAAAAAAGCACTTTCAGTTTAGAGTTCTGAAGATGACTTTTTATATATATACAGATAATGAAATTACATCACAATGATACATAAACACATCTACAACTGTACTCAAGTAAGGCGAATATCTACTTACGAAAAGTAGGAAGATTTGATTATAAAAGATGTGTTACTCGAGATTTGTGTGTAATAGAATAAATGTTCATCTGTCAGATGGCTAGGGCAGAAATTCTCTGGCGCCGACTGAATAATCGATACTTCCACACTTTTGTTGTAAAATGTATAGGAAGACGACGAATCAGAAGCAGGATGCCCTAAGGGCACCAACTCTCTCGTTTGTTTAACTTCCGAGATAGCTTTGTAAATATAATACATACTGTTTTCTTAAATAGTTACTATACATTCAAACACACCGTTTCGCATTATTTACCACTGTGTAATATGTGGAAATATCTGAAGCTAAAGCTTTTTCTTTGCCTTTAAGCCTAATGGTTTACCTAACTACTATCAAACATCTTAAAAATAGCACTATCTCGCAGGATCGATTGATTTCAGTTTTCATGCGCATATTCACTTTTTGTTTACTAAGTAATCATCTCGCAATCACGTAAAGGGTAAAATAATTTTAAAATCTTTAAATTATTGATTTGAATTCCTTTCCAAAACAAACATTTTAAATATAAAATACAATTTAACACTGAATATAAACAAAGGTTAAGGTTTATAACGGAAATTCTGAGTTTCCGTGAACCGTATCTACTTTCATAGATTTAGTGGTTTTTAAAATGCATATTCTACTCGTTATTTCACATCTGTTCCTCTAAAGGCCAAAGTTCATGAATGGTACTCGAATTTTAAACTCTGCACAAAAGACAGAAGATACGACACTACTCAGTACTTCACTCCTGCTAGTCCTAACATTTCACGCTTCCGTCTGAATTGTTTTTTTTAACACTATTATAATTGGGATAAGGAGTGAGTTTGATCAGTATTCAAAACTTATAGGTT